GTTCAATTGAAGTGACTCATCAAGTCCCTTGCCATTGTTATTCTGAAGACTTCCTGGCACATGATCAGATACCTGTGTAAAGCAAAAGCTTCTCCAGCATTCTTTTTCTATTTGGCTTCAAGATAACCAATTCAGCTTATGGATGTTATTGCCTAAAGTAAAACATCTTGAGCCCGTGTAATTCTTAGCTGTATCTGTGCTTACCAGGCCAGAGCCCAACACAATATATATACAGTACAACACGGTTCAGTTGTGCAGTAATGTTCTTTTCTATAACTGATCTCATCTTGTTCTATAGCTCTCATTTCTGCTGATAGTAGATTTTTTAAAATCTTTAATTTTACTCAATTATAGCTAACCTTCTTTTCCAGTTTAAGATTGTTGTTTTCTGCCAACTGTTTACTCAATACAATGATCAAACTTGTAATCAGGAATATGTATCACCTGACATTTTACCTCTACCTGCCTCTTCCTTCCCAAGATAGCATTGGGTATAGGAGAACTTAAGTATACTCCTGGAGGTGGGACAAGGGGCCTCTGTCCATGTGCTGGGTTCCTGTTGGACTCCACTGAGATGGCTTTCCTCCTGCTGATCACTGGGAATCTTACAACAGGGTTCACTGATATGTGGGCTGCTCAGTTTCATCTGGTCTTTTGGTCATTGTCCTAGCATTTTTCAGTACTGCCTAGCAACACTGCCATTCACCTCTAGACATGAGGTCCCTTTGGTCTATGATCTTTTCACTATAACCCCAATCCTAGAACTGAAAAAAAACTCATTGATGGAATATTTTCAATGATACATTTTAATTGTATTCAAGGTATATTATGGTTCTTAAAAGAAAAAGGTTAACTCCTTAAGAATACTAATTAATACCAGTCCATTATTGCTTATACCAAACAGTAACAAGAAAAAATTGCAAAACTCTTGAGTATGAGAAAATTTGTTTGACAAAACAGAGAGCTGGTATTTCTTATTTTTAAAAAATGGACCTTGACCCCTGATATGGTTTGAATATGTCCCCCAAAATTCATGTGTTGAAAAATTAATTGCCATTGTAACAGTATTAAGATGTGGGGCCTTTAAGAGGTGATGAGATGGAGATACCTTAAAGCGATACAAGTGGATCTACCATTTGATCCAGCAATTCCACTACTGGGCATCTACCCAAAAGATCAAAAGTCACTTTATGAAAAAGACACCTGCACTCCAATGTTTATAGCAGCACAATTCACAATTGCAAAGCTGTGGAAACAACCCAAGTGCCCATCAATTCATGAGTGGATTAATAAAATGTGGTATATGTATACCATGGAGTACTACTCACCTTTAAGAAACAATGGTGATATAGCACCTCTTGTATATTCCTGGATAGAGCTGGAGCCCATTCTACTAAGTGAAGTATCTCAAGAATGGAAAAACCAGCACCACATGTACTCACCAGCAAATTGGTATTAACGGATCAACACCTAAGTGGACATATAGGAGGAGTGGGAGGGGGGAGGAGGGGATGGGTATATACAAACACAATGAGTGAGATGTGCAACATTTGGGGGATGGACATGCTTGAAGCTCTTACTTGAGGGGGGAGGAGAGGCATGGGCAACATACGTAACCTTAACACTTGTACCCCCATAATATGCTAAAATTTAAAAAAATCCCTAAAAAAAAAAGAGGTGATGAGGCCATGAGGGCTGTGCCTTCATGAAGGGATTAGTGCTGTTATTGTGGGGATGGGCTCTATAAGAAGGACAAGTTTGGTTTAATTTCCTGTCTCTCTGTTTCACCTGCTGACTTCCACCTTCTATCCTTCCTCCATAGAATGACCCTCACCCGATGCTGGCATCATGCTCTTTTCAGCCTCCAGAATCATGAGCCAAATAAGCTTCTCTTCTTTATAAATGACTCACTCTGTGGTATTCTCTTACAGCAACAGAAATCTGGCTAAGACAACCCCTTACCTCATATCATAAAGAAAAAATTTCATGATGAGTAATAGACCCAAATGTAAATGGTAAATCAATAAAACTTTTAGGGTAAAAACAAAAGGATAACTTGATGACTTTCAGATAGGCAAAAAAAAATTTAAACAAGACAGAAAAACTATAAACCATAAAAGATTGATAAAATTGACTTTACAAAAGTTGTCTTACCTGGCGTTCCACATGAGGTGGGGCAAGGGCAATCAGTGCATGATATTCTCAGTGCACCATACCCCAGAGACTCCGTCTATGAGGGGGAGCTGGACCAAAGAAGGGAACCCCCACATTTTGACTACATTTGCTTGGTACTTAGGACTTGGCTTCAACAATGGGTAGTTGGGAACAGGGTAAGATATATGGAAGTGCTGCTCCTCCAAGGAGGAAAGTCGTCCAGCTGGAGCTGTGGGGGAGGGAGCTCTGTGTTCTTGGCTGTAGCTGTCTGGAGTGGAGTCTTCTCCACCTCACTGAACTGGGATTAGGGAGAGAAGGAGTGATCCTTTTTTTTTTTTTTTTTGAGACAGAGTCTCGCTCTGTTGCCCGGGCTAGAGTGCCGTGGTGTCAGCCTAGCTCACAGCAACCTCAAACTCCTGGGCTCAAGGGATCCTCCTGCCTCAGCCTCCTGAGTAACTGGGACTACAGGCATGTGCCACCATGCCAGGCTAATTTTTTCTATATATATTAGTTGGCCAATTAATTTCTTTCTAGCTTTAGTAGAGACGGCGTCTCACTCTTGCTCAGGCTAATCTTGAACTCCTGAGCTCAAATGATCTGCCTGCCTCGGCCTCCCAGATTGCTAGGATTATGGGTGTGAGCCACTGTCCCCGGCCAAGAAGGAGTGGTCTTGATTCAGAGACCACAAGCTCTTATTTTTCTTACTAACTAAGGACCATTTTCAGAGCCTTTAAATGACTGTATTTTAAAAAAAAACCTTTTTTAATTTTTTTGCCAACTTCATGCAGGAGGTCAGTGGAGCTCTCACACTGTCAGGATAGGAGGGGGTACCAGGAGTGTAGTTTTGGAAATGTTGAGTTTCCTTTCATTTCTTGCCTGTTTATTTTACATTTGAGCCCAGCTCTGGTTTTGTTTTTTATTTTTTATATTTCATCTATTATTACTATGCAGTGGGGGTAAAGGATGTGTGTTACAGCCTGGACTTTGCTGTGCATCTTTATTAAAATTTAGGTCAACTTTTTTACATCTCTGCATAGGGACTTAGAGAAGAATGAATGAGATACCTATAGGGTGTCTAGTTATAGAGGGTCTGGTACAGAGCTTGGCTTAGAGTAGCTGCCTGATAAATGACAAGAAATAATAACTCCTTACAGAAGAAGGAAACTCTTCTTCTTTCTAGGCTCTTCTTTCACTTCCCTACATGATTCCCCCCCATATAAGATATTTCAGTGCCTAAATTCCAACTTGAGGTGGACAGACTCTAGGCTGGTTCCTATCCTCACCTCTTGCATTCACTGAGTGGTCCCTTCCCCCTGAGCAAGAGTGGATGAGTGACTTGCTTTTAACCAATATATTAACAATTTGGTAAAGGTGATAGAATATACATAATTAAACACATGTGGTTATGTTACGTAAGACTGCAACACTGATCTTGTAAGGAGATTCTCTCCCTTGCTGATTTTGAGGAACCAAGAAACTGTTTTGGGAAGACTCGCATGTCAAGAAACTGGTGACAGCCTCTGGCCAACAGCTGGCAAGAAGAAACCTAGGCTGTCAATCTCGTGCCTGCAAAATAATGAATGTTGCCAACAGCCACATGAACTTGGGAGGTGGATCCTTCCCCAGTTGAGCCTCAGATGTGACCGCAGCCCTGGCTGACACTTCACTGGCACCTTGTAAGATCCTAAGCAGAGCATCTAGCTAAACCATGCCCAGCTACTTGACACACAGAGATTGTGAGATAATAATTGTGTGTTGTTTCAAGCTACTAAATTCTGGTAATATTGTTATGCAACAATGAGTACTAATACAGATCTCTAGTCATGCAAACGATCATTACAACATTTTGAGGGAAAAATTATACAAGGTTTTGGATTCTTTAAATTATGGAGAAATAAGCATTTACTGTTTTATTAATAGTGCTATTGAAAACATTTTTCAAAGGCAAAGCAGATATTTTTCATTATTGTAATAATAACTAATGCTGAATATACTGGTTTTATAGTTTTCTATTAAAATTCAAGAACTTACTGACATCATATTAGGAATGTTTGTCAGTGGAGAGGCTCCTAACATTTTTTTTTAATTTGTGGTAAAAAACACATAAGAAAAGTTACCATCTTAACCATTTTTAAGCGTGCAATTTAGTTGTGTTAAATATATTCACATTGTTGTGAAACATATCTCCGGAACATTTTCATCTTACAAATCTGAAACTTGATACTCATTAAATAGCACTTCTCCATTTTTCCTCCCCTCAGCTTCTGGTAACTACCATTCTACTTTATTTTTCCATGCATTTAACTACTTCAGGTATCTAAGTGGAGTATTTGTTTTTTAGTGTCTGGCTTATTTTTAGCATAGTATTCTCAAGATTCATCCATGTTGTATGAATTTCCTTCCTTTTTAAGGCTGAATAAAGATGTATTTTACTGTGAAATATTTCAAGTACAACGAAAAGTACAAAAAAAATCTTAATTTTTTTTTTATAGTAAGAAATGCTAATTATAAACTACCTGAATCTTTCTTTGACCCAGGAATATATGAACTGGGGTAATAGGACATTATGAGTAGGCATATATTATTAGACAAAAACAAATGATTTCTTTTTTTCATTCTTAGGTTGGTATAATAGCTCTATAACAGTGTTTGGTAGAAATAACAACAATATAAAATATCTGAAATATACAATATCATTTATAATTTATTTTAAAAATTCACTATTTCTACATAGTAACTGCTAAATAAAATAGATATCTCTATATAATTACATAAAAATACAGTTAAACAGAACACAGAAGGAAGATATTAATAATATTTTATAAGAAGATAATATTTTCATAATAGGCATATGGGAAGTTATAAACTGTTAGGCTTCATTACTGTTGTTAACTTATACAAATGCAAAATAAATTGAGAAACAACTGTTTTGAAATACCAATTCTTATCATACTTTAAAAACATATTGAGTATTATAAAGTCAAAATGATCTGATAAATCAATGACATGTCAGTTAACATTCTCAGTATAAACTTTAGTGCACTTATGCTACAGGGATTTCACTGAGCATGTATAGAAGAGAATTTAACTGCAAGCTCTTTCTCTACTGTTTTTCTCTTCTTCCAAACTTATCCCATTCTCCCCTTAGGATACTTCTTTTCTTTCAAAAGGGAGCCATAGAAGAATTTTTTTCTGGAGGAACTAAATTACTTCCCAGGATTAGTATAGAAATATACGGATTCAATTTTAAAAAGCTTTCTAAGATGACCTTTAGATATATTATAAGACAATCCAAATGTGAAAACCTGTAACTTTATAAGATTGTTTTATTTGGTTTATTGGATCAAGTTATTTTCATTTTGTCTTTCCATTTTAGTGTCTAGTCTAATAAAGCACACTTATGCAGATTTCGTACATAGGCCACCACTTAAGTGAAGAAATAAAACCAACTGAAGTTACCTTCTGTTGATTATTATAGTAATTGTTTATAGATAAGATTAGATGGAATGTCCAGTTCTCATAAAATTTTCTTACAATTTTTAAATAATCTACATTGAATTTTTAGAAATTATTTCAACCATATCTTAAAACACTTGGTTCATCATTATACTGGCCAACTAAAGTACATCTTTAAAAATAAAATGTTTTATTTGGCAGGCAGCTGGCTACATGGCCATTTATGTGTTTTTATTTAAAGAAAAAATGTTAGAAGAGATTTTCTAAGGTGGCTTCCTCTGTACCCTAAGCTTTTTACTCTTTGAAAAATGCATGAGTACTTTCCTTTGGAAATCATGTAGCCTACACATATTTTATAAAAATCACAGAATGTGGGAGTATGGACAATTTATTATACATCTGAGAACACCAGAAACCATGATGTTTGATGTCATATAGTCTAAAATAGCCCATGATGGAAGGCCTCTCCCAGATGTCCCGTAGATTGCTCCACAGTCCAAATGTCTTTGTCTTCTTTCAGTGGCAGCCATTTAATCAGCTGTGTTCATTAACCGCCCACTTGATGAATAACACTGTACCTGGCATATGGGGAGTTATAAAGGGAGTCTTCATATCATATTGTAAGGTTTTCAAGGTCTCTATAATCTAGTATCAGGCACTGATAGGAAGGATATAATAAATATCTATGATTATATTTGGCAGAGAAGGTGTTTGAACACATTGTTTCCTTATTTTTTTTTGTGTGTATGTGTGTGTGTATCAATGCAATGGAAATAAAAGAATTATTTCTTTTATTATGGACATTATGAATGATGAGCTTTGGGGAAAAGACTGCTGGAATGAGTTTTGAACTCAATGTTGGGAGAGAGGTGGTTTCTGGTTGGGAAATGGCAAGTATATGGCTTGAGCCAAGAGGATACGAGGCAGTTGCCTGAACATGGAGCCATCTGGCATGGGACCTGAAAGTTTATGAGCAAAAGTATGAGTGTGATTTAGGAGAAGGACTGAAAATCACCACAAATGGAGATATGACTAAAGTTACAGTTCACGAGAATGCTCTTTGTGGCTGTGATTAAGATAAATTGGATGAGGAAGAGGTTATATGGGAAGGGGGAGCTGGTACAATGGTTGATATTAAAGGCTGGGACTTGGGCTACAGCTACAAAATTAAATTGAAATTTTCAGATGACACTCCAGGAGCTATGTGACTCCCCTCAATTTAATATCCAAATGTTATATTAAACATCCTGAGAAAAAAAGATTTCCAAGCATTTTTGCCTGTTGTCATAGATACATCAAGACTGAAAGAAGAAAAAAATAATTCAAAGGGAACACGAGATGGCAGCAGTTATATCACATAAAGAGAAAGACTGGGGAAAGAAAAACACTTGAAATTATTTTTAAAATAAAAAATATGTAGCACCTTAGTCTTTATGCGCTGTATTCCTTTTCAGTACAGAGATTACTCAGTCATTGATTTCATGCTTCACAGCACATCTGAGGTTCATTCTGACTCTAGTAAAAATCCTACTCCATTACATGTGATTGTTTCCTAAAATAAAGCTGTTGCTGTTTTCTGCAGATTACTGTTCCTCTGTGTTATCTGAGGCAGAAGAGTTCTGTATGGTGCAAATTTGTTTTAGATGTTCCAGCATTGCTTTTTCTTCCTCTTCTAGTGTTTCATCCTTCCTCATTTCCCACCTAAAAGAAAAATCACATCTTAGTATTTTTGTAACTTTCAAACTACAGGTCCATACTCAATGGTTCAAGGCGTGAATTGTAGTCACTGGTTTATTGAGGTATCTATTTCTCCTTGTTTATTCCCCATTGACTGCCTCTTGGGCAACACACTTCACTGGCACTGCCTCTGCAGAGGGGGCCAGAAGAGTGGGAGAGGGAGGAGTCACATCAGCTCCCCTCCAGGATGAAGTTTTATAGCATTGCTTCAAATGACGCTTCTTTATTGCCTAAATTTTAATAGTATCTGTGGCCTACAAATATACACACATATATAAGTAAAATCTGGAATTAGCAACAAATAAGCAAATATTTTTCATAGTATTTTCCCTCACTGATTACAGTGGCTTTAAGTTGCAGGGAGGTTTGCCAGGAAGACCCGAGCAGAGAGAAGAACATCAAGCTAAATTGGATATACCTTAAGTGCAGGTCAGTCTATTCCTAGAAATAAGATCAGATTTGAAGGAATCAAGTTAAATAACCCAAGAAAAGCAGCAGATTGTTAGCAAGGTTCCAAAGAACATTTACTAAAAAAAATAAAAAGAAAAAAGAAGAAATAAAGAAAAAAGATTAAAGACTTTCTAGTTGATTAGGAGATAAGAGAACAAAATGTTAGAATCTAGAACTATATATATATGTATATAATCCTGCAAAGTAAATATTACCACAATAACCCAAGTACACTTAATCTTTACTTCCCATCCTTCTTCCTATATATATTGACATATAAATAATAGTCATATTAAATTGAACTCCTCTCAAGCAGGAAAATAAAAAATAGAAAATACTTATATAGAACTAAATAAGGGTTAAGCATTGTCTTAAAAACTTGATACATCACTCTTTAAATTCTTAATAGAAAATGATATTATTCCCATTCTACAGATGAGTACATTGAGGTACTCATAATGTACCTGTCCCATAATGTTAAAGTCACTTAATATGTCCCATAACTGTCCCATAATGTTAAAGTCACTTTCTTGAGCTTCTTTGGATTTAGTTTAGGGAGTCAGACTCTGAAGTCTGGGCTTATAAATGTAATAACAACGATAGTTATAAAACCACTCTATAGCTACCACAGATTACTATTAAAATAGTTTAAATATTTCGCTTTCTGATATTAAATAAAAGAGCTATCTAAGAATCACATAATCTTAAAACAAATCCAAACATGAGAAATTAGGTTTGCCTTTTCTTCTCTCTCATATAAAGGTGCTAATATTGTCTGAGTAAATGAATTATTTTATGAATGTCAACAGAATAAAATATGTAATATGCACATAAATATTTTGATCATTGTCTCTACTTGTGAAAATTGAAAATACAGTCTCTCTGCTTCATTAAAAATCTGTATAATTAATGTAATTTAAATGAATTGTATACATAATAGAATCCATGATAAGGATTTTTGGAAGCTTCATGACAATTACAGGCACTTCACAGTATAATTGAGCTGTTAGTAATTAATGATATTAGGCAAAGTTATTTACCTACCACAATCTTATTATATTTGCTTTGTGCTTATTAAGAAGAAATCATTTCATAAAAGGATAAGAAATAATGACAAGGATGGATGAAAAAATAATATTAGAATTACAGTTTTACTCTTATTGAATGAAAGCATTAGAAATTTAAAATTTTTACTTCAAATATTGTTGTATTTCACATCTACAAGTTCTTAAGAGAAGTTTATCTGTAATTTCATCATGGTTTTAGGTTTTGTTGACACAATGTAAAAACAACAAGTCAATTCTGTTAAAAAACTATTGGAAAAGAAAATAATCTATCAATTTGTTAAACACCACTGAATGGGCATTCTGTTCAAAATCTCTATCTCTGGTTTCCCTTAACATATTTAATATCCATGATAGATGCATATCTCTACAGAAACCAGAACATTTTGAAACCAACATATTTTAGTTCTCCCTGAAAAGCAATATGAGCTGATTATATTTTTGTTTTGGCGGACTTTGGTAGTCTGCCCTTTTGCACTATTGCTAAATTCCCCATCTGTCTACTATATGGTAGGAGAACTGCAAACTGGCCCCCACTTCAACCGGTGGCAGTGACTAGGTTGTATCTTAGACACTGATGGACAGCAAAATCCCATGGGACACTGTATTATATTATTAACTATCTTCCAGAATGGGCTCCATCTGTATGGCTCTTGGGTGGGTAGATGTGGTGACTTAGTCTATTCCTAACAATGAGTCCCTTTTCTTATCTAAACACAACAAGGACTCTAAAACCTAGTCTGAGATACTCTAACAGAATCAGCAGTCACAACCTTGCTCTTTAGCACTGCTCTGATTGATTTGGTTGTTCTTAATCTTGGTACCTCTTCCTGGATTGACACACACATTCATACATGAACTGAGGTATCTGCCTGCTACTGTGTGTGTTCTATTAATATTAGCTGATATTATAGATTTTTCCAGGAACCAGGCCGTAAGCGAAGAGCTTTTTATTTCTGTTCACTTCAATGAGCAACTGTTGATTTGTGGTCCCTACAATGAGATCTTGAGGTGTGTATAATAAAACAGGCACAGATCAGTGAATAACTGTTCTAGTGATCAGTTTCACAGAAACTTGTATTTGTGGGTGGTGGTGGGCTTTGTGGCTGTGTGTCAAAGCCAACTAGGAGAGCCACATTTGGGGACAGGCACGGTCAAGCATGAGGTATGTCCTTGGTGTCATGGGTCCAGGCTGTCCAGGCAAGTCTTGGGTGGCCCGTACTGTGGAAAGGAGCAGTCAACACCAGACAGATGAGGAGGGCCAGAGTCTGGAGTATGAGAAGTTCTCTTTCGCATTTACTATGCCTTCTGTTAGGAGAAAAACATTTAAAATATTTAAAATCAATAGTGTTTTGAGAGTAAGTTTCTTAACTTCTCCATGCCTCAGTATTCTCACCTATAAAATAGTGTCAGATTGGAACACAGGACTGCTCATTTATGTATTATCTGTGACTGATGCCACTCAATAATGTCAGAGTTTAGTAGCTGCAATTGAAACCGATTGATACTGTATAGCCTGCAGAGCCTAAAATATCTGTTATTTGGACTTTTACAGAGAAAGTTTGCCAACCTCTGCTCTAGAATGGTGGTTCTTAACTGGAGTGACACTGCCTTCCTATGGGGAAATACAGAGGGCATTTTGGATGACATTATGTTTAGAGAATGTTGCTACTAGTACCCAGGGAACAGAGATGGTAACATCTTTAATATACAACAATCCCACTCACTGAAGAGTTGTCTTCCCAAATGTCAAAAGCATCTCTGCTGAGAAACATTTGCTATAGAATCTGTAAATAATATTGAATAGTAATGGGATAGTAAGAGTCCCTACCTAATGCTTGCTTTTAATTGAAATGGTATTAGTATTCACAAATAATATTTTACAATATTATTTGCTGACGAGTCAGGGTTTAGGAGTCAAGGTACTGTATCTAAATCCCTTACAAGCTGTGTGACCTTGGGCAACCCAGATAAAACTATGCCTCAATTTCCTTATCTATAAAATGGGAATAATCGTGGCTGCTTCATAGAGTTGCAATAAGGAAGAAGACACTAAGTATACATAAAACATAAAATAATGTTTTGTTTCTAGCAAGCACTCAATGAGTGATAATTGTTATTGTTATCACAATTATTTGGCAAATTGGTTAAGGTTACAAGTAGGAGAAATCCTGACCGTGGTGGGTTAAACAAATAGAGGGTTATTTTTCTCATATAATGAGAATCCAGAGGTGGACAACAGCTGGCATGGGTTAAATAGCTAGACAACAGCAGGGCTGACGTCTCCATGGTCCTCTTGTCCTTTACCTCATGGTCCCAAGATGGTTGTTGTAGCTTCAACCATCACATCCTTGTTCTGAGGCAGGAAGAAGTAGGAAGGCTGCACCTATCTCATTTTATCAGGGTAATAAAACCTTCCCCAAATTCCTCCCAATAGACATTAGAGTCATTCTGTCTAGGCTGAAACCCTGACTCTGCCTCTTACTGGCTGTGTGATATTGAACAAGTTTCTTAACCTCTCTGTGCATTGATTTTCTCATATGCAAAATAGGGGATATTAGTAGCATACATATCAATGCATTGTAGTACAGAGTAGGTGACATATAAATTTCAAATGTTTCATAAATTGTTACTCTAATGAGACTACTTGCATTATGTGCTTTCCTTAGAGCTTCTACTTTGATGTTCTTTCTCCTGCTCTGTGTCTTTCATACTGTTTTATCCGATAAGTTATCTCCTGTAAGTATGTAGGTGAAATGAAGTTGCTAAGTATTACAATCATTTCATTCGGTGTTCAGTTATACACATCTACTGTGTTTCCCTGAAAATAAGACCTACCCATAAAATAAGCCCTAGCAGGATTTCTAAGCATTTGCACAATATAAGCCCTACCCCAAAAATAAGAACTAGCGATGGGTGTGGCTATGCAGCGTATCTGCACAACCCATGCATTTCATCGTGGAGCGGTAAAGAAGACGAGCAGCCCTTCTCATCTGCCCCATGAGAGCTCTATTGCTCGACATGAGAGATTGGGGCCAATGGTTCTAAAGGAAATAGAGTCGCAAGAAATTCAGGATGGAATTCGGGGTTTGGAGAATTATGATGATTTTCCAGAAGAAGACGACTTAACTATATTTGAATAAATGTAGGTTGTTGTACCATGCTTAAAAACACACACACACACACACACACACACACACACACACACACACCCTGAAAAATAAGTCCTAGGGTGTCTTCTTGAGGAAAAATAAATATAAGACCCTGTCTTATTTTTGGGGAAACACGGTATGATCGCGCTGTCGTTCCCTCCTGTCTTTCATGAAGATGTTTCATGCTAGTTCACCCTGTTCAGACTAGCGTGGCCAACGTTGGTTTTGTTTCCCTATAATCACTTTGCTGTATAATGATGGCATTTGATCATATTATTGGCATTTCTCCTGAAGCACC